TGAGCAGCCGGCTACGATCAATATGATGGGGTGGCGCTCGCTTACGCTCTTTACCAAACCTGTACGTGTTCGTTTTCCCTCCACGTCCGTAAAAAACCACGGGGATGGACAGAGTGGATCCGCGCGATCAACCTGTCGATCCCCTTTGGCCGCTCGCCCCGTGAAATTGACTTTTTAAGAACCCACCACCCGCGGTGGTGGTGGCCAAGCCTTTGGCGCCGTTCTTTCATTCTGTGCCAGCGTGCTACTCTTCTTTTCGATTTCATTTGCGGCCTTTGGATGACGGATAGGTCTGGTGAATCCGATAGTAGTTGAAAATTTCTTTTATTAGATGAACTTTTATCGGGTAGTTTTTTCTTTCTTCTTTTTCTTCTTTTGATTAAGAAATTGATGAAGAAGATTGGGTTCATGGATTATTGAAGTTGAGAATTATTGAAACATTTGAATATTGATTTTAGAATTGGATGAAGTAAGAGACGTTGAAGAGATTTATGATTCTGTCTGTGGAGATTTTAGATCTAATTGAAAAATGAAATATTTGTAATTTCTTTTATATTATATTTTCTTTCTTTCTATTTATAAGAGTAAAATCAAACCTCAAAGTTTTATTTTGAATACAATTTCGTCCTTAATATAAAGAATAAAAAGAAGAAAAATATTTCGAATATTTTCAGGATACGCTATATATTCTCGAAATAACGAGTACCGAGCAATACCGTAGCCGGATCTTTCTGCAACTCGAATCAAAGGGAACTATGGAGCGAAGATGGATCACGGAAGCGGGTTTCCTCCGATTCGAGGAAATGCACGCGCGGATTCATCGATAAATCCATGGAGGCCGGCGTCGCGGCTCGGCTATTTTGCATAAAATGTAACGGAGTGTGTATGCAGCGAGGCGCGATCGCATTTATCGTTGCGACGCATGCGAGCGGACCAGACGACGGTTTTTGTTCGGCTAGGCGTTGCGCATCACCAGCTCTCTCTCCACGTGCACCACGGCCACCCTCCTGTCGACCATTAAATCGAGATTTCGCCGGTGATTAGCGGCAGT